GCAGCACCAGATACATTATGTGTAATGGTGTATATCCCATCACCTGCATACAGTTGTACTTTCTCTGTCATAGGCTCTAGATGCTGCCTTTGGCAGCTGGGAAAGTTAACACCATTCATTGCCTGTCCAACCCTTTCTGCCCTGTCCACCATCTGTATTGTCTGTACTAATATTTTTCAACAATGCATTGCATTTTGTGAGTGGAGGAGGAGCAGGTAGATCATAGGATCTCCACCACCCATTCACAGAATGCAATGCATTGTGGGAGAATAGTCACACAAGCAATAGTTGTTGAGAGGACTGAAAGGGGGGAGCGAATAGAGCAAGTTTTCTCAGTAGCTGTGGTTGATGCTAACTCCCACAGCCTCGCAAGACAGTTGTTCAGGGTAATGTCTACCATAAAGGATAAAAAGGGGGAACTGTATAACAAAAAAAATACAGTAACGCCATATACGGGAGAAAATTATTGGTCAGTTCACTAACTCACCAGTTAGGCGCGGTTCACAGTACCCAAGGGGATGCACTATAAAAATGTTTTCAGGGAAGAGCCCCTAAAGAAAAGAAGGTACTACTAGGTGACCCAGGTAGTTTAACTGAAAGTATAGCTTTATTGAAACTACACTGTAATAGAACACCATGGAAATACATTTACAAAAATTAAACTGTCTCCACCTGTCACCATTACTGTCTTTTACTGTCCAATTTGTTGTCACTAAGACACGGATGCACTTGACTGCACTGTGAGTTAACTTTTTTTTTTGTATTATCTACTATTCTCTGCACAGCATATATGAAGGCAGCTGGATTTTTTGTTGTTATGCTTTTCATTTTCATCAGAATTTTTGCGAATTCATTAATGTTGCTAACATAGTTGAGGTTTGCTGTTTCTAAACATGCCTTAATGTCTATATGGCTATATGTTTATTCATTTTCCCGAGCCTTCGCTTTTATTACCAACAATTTGTTATCCCTTATGCTATATCCTGACTCTACCTCCTTATACTGCTAGATGCTCGCACTGAATGGGTCATATGCTCCTTGAAGTGAAGGTTTAGAGTTTCTGCATATAACAATTTTGGGTGCATGATATCGTGTACTCTTAACATCTAACCTGGGTTCCCTAATTTTTAAAGTGACAACATTGTCGTGTTTTTAATGGTGACGGGTGGAGACGTAGTTCAACTTTTGTAAATGTATTTCCATGGTGTTCTATTACAGTGTGGTTTCAATAAAGCTATACTTTCAGTTAAAGTACCTGGGTCTCTTCCCTAAAAACATTTTGTTCAGGGCAATGTCTGATGACACTGCAGGGAGAGTTTTTACCCGAAGCAGCTGCCTGCTAGGTATTAGGGTACATGCTACAGTACATAACATATTTGCTGCTGTATCTCCCCCCCCCTCCAAAAAACAAAAATAAAGTAAACGTCAGCTTTAAATGTAGTAAAGCTTTAACTTTTGCCTATTTTTTGCCGTACTCCTAGAAAAGCAGAATATTCAGGATGATACAAATCATCAAGCAATTAAAGTAAAACTACAGGACCTCCCAAATTACTATTTGGGCAGGTCCAGAGTACCAAGAAAATGTGCTTTTTCTTCAAATATCTTGTATATTCTAAAAACATATGACTTAATACCTGTGGATCAATAAATGTACTATAATAAATGTAATTTGTTGGCCCCCGATAAGTTGGTGCTGGTCTTTTTGTCCTCCCCCCTACTCCTCCTCATTCATATAAACTTGGCAAAACAGAGCTTTACAGGTTCATGGAGTCTTCTGCTTCTCTTTGAAAATAATTTTCAGGACAAGCAGATCAACCTCTATAGCCTGTTGCCAATTTTAGTAATTGTGCCTGTGAATTTAAGAGGTTGCAGCTTCCTTTCGCTGTACTTTCAGCAGTGTGCTATAAGTGGGAGCCCGCCATGTGCAGATGGACGGGAGTGTGTACTGCCTGTGTAACAGGACCACCTAGGCTATCACTGAAACTCCTAGCACAGCATTTCTCATAGCAAATGATCTACTTTGGTGCCTTTTTCTATTTTTACCTCTTATTTGCCAGCATGCGTATCTGAAAGTGTGCCAGCAGTTTACATTTTAGGTAATGAAACAACTTATATTCAGATTTACAGTGCCTTGAAAAAGTATTCATACCCCTTGAAATGTTCCACATTTTGTCATGTTACAACCAAAAACATGTATTTATTGGGATTTTATGTGATAGACCAACACAAAGTGGCACATGATAAATGGTTTTTCCACATTCTTTACAAATAAATATCTGAAAAGGTGTGGCGTGCATTTGTATTCAGCCCCCCGAGTCAATACTTTGTAGGACCCTCTTTTGCTGCAATTACAGCTGAAAGTCTTTTTGGGTATGTCTCTATCAGCTTTGCACATCTAGAGAGTGACATTTTTGCCCATTCTTCTTTGCAAAATAGCTCAAGCTCTGTCAGATTAGTTGGAGAGCATTTGTGAACAGCAATTTCAAGTCTTGCCACAAATTCTCAATTGGATTTAGATCTGGTCTTTGACTGGGTCATTCTAACATGAATATGCTTTGATCTAAACCATTCCATTGTAGCTCTAGCTGTATGTTTAGCGTCATTGTCCTGCTGGAAGGAGGACTGTCTCAAGTCTTTTGCAGACTCTTTAACAGGTTTTCTTCTAAGATTGCCCTGTATTTGTCTACATCCATCTTCCCATCAACTCTGACCAGCTTCCCTGTCTCTGCTGAAGAAAAGCATCTCCACAACATGATGCTGCCATGATGGAGACGGGGCAAAGAAGAATTTGTCAATTTATTAATCAGGAATTGATAAAAGATGCTTGAATGGAAGGGGAGATTGTAAAAAAGCCAGACCAGCCATAGACACTGGCCTAAGTCATAAAAGATAATTGATTCTTTGAGTACTAAAGGCAAAAGGAGATGAGAATCAATCACCAAAAATATATACAAGTTTAAAGACTATTAGAACACCGTGTCAATTTTCAATCATACATAGCATGGAGATGGTTAAACATGAATATTCCAAGCAGTGGTCTTTTACCATAGAGCAAAAGCACAGTGTCATGGGATATAGTTATCACAATTGCATGCAAAAGGTGGTGATGTCCATTAATGCTTGTTAATATAATGACAAAAAATGAAAATTCACTTTTTTACTGTCGAATTTACTGATTGCTCCGTCCCAGTTATATAGCTAAGACATTATATTCAGTGATGAAGCCAATTTTCAGGCTTTTAAGGCAATATTATTTGTGTAATGTATTTATTAAATGAACGTACATAGGGGTTTATTTACTAAAGCTGGAGAGTCCAAAATCAGACTCCCTTCTGCATAGAAACCAATCAGCTTCTAACCTCAGCTTGTTCAATGAAGCTTTGGCAATGAAACGTGGAAGCTGATTGGTTTCTATGCAGAAGGAAGTCTGATTTTGGACTCTCCAGCTTTAGTAAATAAACCCCATAGTGTCAACAATTCACTTTTTCATACTGTACATTCACATCAGTCCCTGTCCTCAAGAAGCTTACAGTCTATCTCACATACATAGGAGGAAACCAGAGTATCCAAGTGGCTTGGTTGAGATTTGTACCAAGAATGGCAAGCAAGAGGGCTAACCACTGTGTTGACTTTGCTACCCTAATTGCAGTCATATTTTTTATAAGCACTTATGTATTATTGGAACAAGTTGGACATTCTATAACTGCTTTTCCTAATGTTTTTTTTTTTTTTTGTTCTCTATGAAAGGTATTACAGAATATTCTGGAAACAGAGCGAAGCTATGCTAAAGAACTTCAGTTACTTATATCAACTTACCTCAGACCTCTTCAGTCATACGACAAGTAAGTAGCATGAACTTGTTGTGAAAGAAGCCTAGGGATGGCCACTGCTAATTTCTAATTGCCTTCCTGCATGCTGACTTTTATACTTTGATACTTTTAGCCACTAATAAAGACTTTTTTTTCTCCGACTTGCTTGATCTGCACACTTTTTTTCTGGTTCAAAGACTGAAAGTACTAAAGTCCTGAGCCAACAATAGATGCAGGCAACCTGCATTTTCCAAGATCAGCAATGGCAGCCCTGTGTTTTCTCTTATGACAGGTTATTAACATTATGTATATGATTTTATTAAAACCTAACTCAAACAAAAATATTTTTTTTTTCTTTCCAATTCTGTTTTTTTTTATCACCACCTCTAAGACAGATCTGAAGTGAGACTGAGAACTGGGTGATCAGAGCTCTCTGACCTGCCCATGCAGCGCTCACTGAAGCGTCAGGCTGTGGAGGGGGTGGGAGCGGCTGGCTTAGGCTCTCAGCGGCTTGGAAAGGCTGAGCCAGCTGCTAGTCCATGCCTCTGGGTGGATCCTGACATTAAAGTCGGGATCTCTCCAGAGTGATATCAGCCGACAGCAGACTTTAGCCCACTGTCAGCTGAAAATGGGTCACAGGAATGAAGTGCACTCCTGTGATCCCCAGGAGATGTAGGGCCAAAAGAGCTTTGGCCCTACTTCTCCTTTAATACTGATGAGGGGAATCTTATTTGTTTGTCTGTGTCTTTTGATGCAAAACTAAACTGCGCAAATACCTTTGCTCCAGTGCTGCAATGTCTGGGATGTCCTTTGCCGATGCCAGGTCTTTGGATGCCTGGATTACTATCCGGGAATGATGCAGCTCCTGTGTATGCGCATGGCAGTTCATTCATTCCCCAGCCAAGAATATACACTGAGCTGCACATACGCTGCTCAGTTTACATTCTAAAAATGATTATGAACAGGCAGTTGAATTGGTTTTATTACAGAAAAGATATAGCATGTCTCTTCTGCAATAAACTTTTTTTTTTTTTTTTTGCACTTTAGTTCCACTTTAACCTATCTATCAAATACCAAGCATAGTGACCAGCAACCAGCAGGAACCTGTGATATTTCATCCCAACCCTAGTGTGAAGACTCCTTAAAGGCTCATTTTGTTGTGTTTTTTTCAGGTTAAGTGTTGCGGATATCACATTATTGCTGGGAAATTTTGAGGAGATCTACACATTTCAGCAGACACTCTGCCAGGCACTCGAAGAATGTGCAAAGTAAGAGTTTTGAAATATTGTCTTTGTGTAAATGTTGCCTGAGTGTTATCAGTATGGGTTGTATTTAGGCAAAACAGTAGTGCGAACTTGATTTCAACTTAAGATAGGGGCAGCACAGTGGCTAAATGGTTAGCACTTCCGCCTGGCAGTACTAGGGTCATTCGAATCCCAACCATGGCACCACCTGGCTGGAGTTTGCATGTTCTCCCTGTGCATGCATGGGTTTCCTCTGGGTAGTCCGGTTTCCTTCCACACCCCAAAGGCATGCTGGTAGGTTAATTGGTCCTGTCTAAATTGGCCCTAGTATGTATGAATGTAAGGGACCTTTGTTTGTATGCCCCTTGAGGGTTAGAGACTGATGTGATTGTACAATGTATGTGTGTGTGTAAAGCACTGTATAAATTGACAGCACTATATAAGTATCTTAAATAAATAAATAAGATAGCAACTCACATTTAAATTTTCATCGCTCAGCCCATGAAAAGGGAGAAAGTCATTTGATCCACGCTAAACAGTATGTATAGAGGAATCTTCATCACACGCTATTGTATTCAATCAGATGCCACCTGTGGCTGCCTGAATACCCAAATAGTGACTGCATCTGATTGGATGCAGTTACTATTTGGATAAGCATTTTCTGGCTCAGTGGATTTTACATTTGACTTTTGTTTAGCTAGTTTGTACCAACAGAACCCACCCATGACTTGAATTTCAGCTTATTCACAGGAATCAGACAAAATTCAAGCCATATATAGCTTTCATCAGACTGACTGATATCATTATCATACACACCTAAAATGACTCCTTCTACTGCTGTCACCATCCCCAGCACAGCTATTTATTAAGCAATATTGTCTAGGTAATTGCCCTAGAGCTAGAAAAGATTAGCATGGCAGCAAGCCAAGTAACATTTTAGAAGTGGTAAAAAATAGCAGCCTACATATTTCTCCAATGATGAGTTGACTATTCATATATCATTCATACCGTTCAGAGAATGCAGTTTCTGAATGAATGCAAAGTGTTCTCTGATTGGATGAGGTGGGTCAGTGGCATCATTCTCTACACCTTGTGAGTGGCTGACCTCCTGTGTTCACAGTGCACAGCATGAAAACTGGAGGCAAGTGGAGAACACTGGAGTAGCTGTGTGATTTTCAGCTTCCAGGGGCATTGGCCATGTATGGTAAACACTCAGTTACATTGGCCCAAGCTGGACCAGTGTAACTATGTAAAAATATACTATACCTGGAATTCATCTTTAAACAATATTTTTACAAATGGCACAATGCATTTTAAACTACTGGGGGCCCTTGTTTTTGTGGGTCAATTTATGTAAAAGGTTAACTTAACTTGGCCATAAACTAGCAGAGATTTGTTTGAAATATTTTGTTTACGTTACTTCAATTATTAATCCTTCGTGGGGGGTCAAAATTACGTTTTGCGTTCAACCACAGTAACAAGAAAATTGGTAAGAGCAGAATGGAAATGTTTTTTTCTCAAACATTCTTACAGTGTACGTGGTTTTTGTTCAAAATTTAATTTGCTGTTCACTTTCAAATTTGGAATGAATGGAATTTCCTGAAGTATTTGTAAATTTATCAAGTCATTAAATGTACTGAGAATTGTAAAAATATCCATTCTATTCTAGTGTATGGCCAGCTTTAGCCTTCAGCAATGCAGTTTATCTCTTTATCCACTAGATGCCACTATTTTTCTTTTTCTATAAGGGTGCAAGACATGAGTGTTGTACCCATAACCAATATGTGACTTCTGTAACAAGTAACTTAAAGTAGATCTTGCATCAGAAAAGAAGGTCTAATTATTGTTGGAAATGTAAAAAAGGCACCGTTTAAAAAAAATAAATGCAAAAAAAAAACACCCTGGCTCCCCTGCAAGCACACTTAGGCACAGATCTGTCCGTATATGCCTTTGTTCTCAACCAGGAAAGTAATAGATGAGATGAACATCAGTGTGCCCATTGTAACGGTAGCAGATACTGAGAGCTCTTGATGATTTATTTAGAAGCTGGAAGTAAAGGAACTTGAATTCTCTTATAGTTATTCTGTTTTTTCTTCAGCAGCTTCCAAAGTTAAACAATAAACTACGCTATAATACAGAGTGTTTTTTGTAAAAAAAACTAAAATGTCATTAAACCGTGATAGAACATGTTATTGTTAAACAAGGTAAGCTGTAATATAAAGTACATGTACAAGTGAAAACTTTTATCTGTCCCAATTGATGGATTTGCCCTCACTCATTGATCTAATGACAAATCTAGAGTGTTGGGATTTCCCATCACTGTCTCTGTGGTCACCAGGACAAATAGTGAGGATGGGAACACAGACAATAACAACCTGACAGACGTTTTAACCTTTCCCTACTCTATAGAAAAGTAAATAAAACCGTCTTTATATATATACTTTAAGGTTATTAAATGCATTTCCCTTTCAGCCTGCAGCTAGCTATGATTGTCTATAACTGGCAAACAAATAGGCTTGTCTTCCATCTACACATAGCTACAGTATTCAGTTTGTAGGATTTCCCTGAAAAATTACCTCCCATGTCCTATAATTGGTTTACTGCAAAAAATCTGCATAGATGTAGAAGTTGTTTAATGGCATACAGAATCAATGTAATGTGTTTTGGGGCCAGTTCACACCACAATTTCTGTGTTCCGGATGCGTTTCTGCGTACACGTTTATGATGCATTTTTTTATGCATTTCAGTGTGTTTTTGATGCATTGCAGTGCATTTTTTCTCCTCTTTTTTTTCTTTATCTCATTTGAGGACATGATAGTATCCGTTGTTTTTTTGATGCATTTTGCAGTATTCCAGATGTGTTCCATACAGAAAAAATACACGGTCTACTTTTGTTGTCTGCACTGGAATGAACCATTGGAATCCATGTTAAATACCATCCATGTGTTTTTGATCTGGAATAAAAATGCACTGAACTGCATCTGGTGTGAACCAGCAGTTAGGCTTGCTACAATGGAGTTTCATGTTTGGTAGGTACCTTGCAGTTATGCTAGTTGTCCTGTCCTCTTCTCAAAGATTTACATGGAAAACTTTTAAAAAGTGTGCTAGAATAGCTTGTTTTATATCTACAGAACAGAAGCAGGTAAAGATCTGCTCTAAAATTGGCTTCAATGCTTGCAGTTAATATAGTTGAACTGGAAGGGGATGTTTGATTTGAACATAGTGAGCTTTAGTGCACTTTGAAGATTTAAATGAATCAGCTTTTTTATCACTGGGAAGTTTATATTGTTTTAATCACAAATAAAAATATCTAAAAAACCAAACAAATCAAAAGATATCAATTGAAATTACACTTGTTCTTTTGCATACAGTTGTGCTCAGAGGTTTGCATACCCTTGGAGAATTGGTAATATATTGTACAGTATGTACCATTTTTAAAGAAGACATGAGTATGTAGACAAAACACATTTCTTTTATTTCTTATAGGATTCATATTCATCTTTAGGCCATAACAAAATGGCAATAAAAAAAATACATAAAACAAAACATGGCAACAAGTAAAGAAATGAAATGACCCCTGTTCAAAAATCTGCATACCCATTGTTGTTAATACTTTGTATTGCCCCCTTTAGCATCAATAACAGCATGTGGTCTTTAGTAATAACTGTCTTTGAAGCCCTAAATTCTTTCAGATGGTGTAGCTGCCCATGTGCTTTGGCAAAATGCCTCTAGGTCATGCAGTCTTTGGTCATTTTGCATGAACCACACGTTTGAGGAGGAGACTGTAATGGCAACTCTAGAACCTTCACCTTTTTCTGCTGTAACCAATGGAAGGTAAACTGTGCCTTGTGCTCAGGGTCATTGTCATGCTGGAAAGTCCAAAAGCGTCCCATGTGCAGCTTTCCTGCAGGAGAATGCAAATTGTCCACCAGTATTTTCTGACAACATGCTGCATTCATCTTGCCATCTATTTTCACAAGATTCCCCGTGCATTTAGAGCTCACACCCCCCCAAAACATTCTTGGTATTCTTGTTGCTAAAGGCCTTGTTGACCCCTCTCCAAACATAGTGCTTATGGTTGTGACCATAAAGCTCTATTTTGGTCTCGTCACTCCAGATTACAGTGTGCCAGAAGCTGTGAGGCGTGCCAAGGTGTTGTCTGGCATATTGTAACCAGGCGTTTTTTTTGTGGCATTGGCACAGTAAAGGCTTCTTTCTGCCAACTCTACCACGCAGCTCATTTTTGTTCAAGTATCATCGTATTGTGCTCCTTAAAACACCGTGTTTTTCTAAAGCAGCCTGTATTTCTCCTGAGGTTACTTTTGGGTTTTGCTTTTTATCCCGAACAATTCTTCTGGTAGTTGTGGCGGAAATCTTTCTTGGTCTACCTGACCTTGGCTTGGTATCAGGAGATCCCTGAATTTTCCTCTTCTTACTAAGTGATTGAACAGTACTGACTGGCATATTCCAGGCTTTGGACATCTTTTTATATCCTTTTCCATTGTTATAAAGTTCCATTACCTTATTATGCAGGTCTTTTGAAAGTTCTTTTCTCCTCCCCATGGCTCAATATCTAGCCTACTCTGTTCATCAACGTGAGAGAGCAATTTAAAAAGCAACCGATGTGGGAAATTAACCTTTAATTGACATTTTAGCCTGTGTGTGTCTGCGCCAAGTCAAATTATTCAGGGGTATGTAAACTTTTGATCAGGGTCATTTGGGTGATTTCTGTTATTGTTATGATTTAAAAAGGAGCCAAACAACCATTTGATAGAAATGGCTTCATATTATCATTATCCCTAAAAGAGAAGTATAGGAAACCTTTTTTTTTCTTAAATCATACTTACCTAGGTACATGCAGCATTGGTCTGATGCTGCATCTGTCCCCCACTGGCTGTAAGGGTAAGAACTCTGAGTTGAGTTCTCACCGCTGCTGTGGTCAGAGAGTGGTGACTGTCAGTAACCGCTGTCTGCTCTGCCCTCCCCGCGCTCACTGGAGCGCTGGGCTGTGGAAGGGGTGGAAGTAGCTGGCTCAGGTTCTCAGCAGCTGGCTAAGAGATTGAATAAGGTGCCGCTCCAGACTCTGGGGTGGATCCGGACCATATGGTTGTGATCCTTCCCCAGCCTAGATCAGCTCTGTGACGTAAGCCAAAAGCAGGTCTCCGGTCACTGTCAGCTGAAAACGGGTCACAGGAGTGCATTCCTGTGATCCACAGAAGTACAGCCAAAAGAGCTTTGGCTGTACTTCTTTAAATAAAAGACGTTTTTTTTTTTTGGCATGATCAGTCATATTTTCAATATCCATGTCAAACTTTTATGATTTCTCCCAGGGTATGGACATTTTTTAATGCAATTGCATATTGATCAGCTTTTAGTTGATTATATCCAATTCCATATTGAATTATCTGGGTTACTTGCAAACCCATTTTTGTCTTCTGCTATTTAAAGTATAACTAAACGCAAAACTTTTTCTTTTATTTTAGACGTAGTGGAGGGGGGTTAGAAAACCTGTCAGATTTTTATTGCTACCTGTGTCCCTATTCAGGAGATACACCCTCTCTATTTGTTCTGTTTACTGTTATCACCAAGAGTGAAAATAATAGGAAGTCTCAGGTTTTGGGTTTGCACCTGAACAGGAATAGAAGGAAATCTTGGTTGTCATCAGAACTGTACCCATTGGAAGAATTCCCCTCACATTGGAGGGATTTCATATCACTCTCTTTTTTGGCTATAGTGCAGGAAGTGCAGAGAACATTCTACTGTCTACTTAATAAAAGCCTAGTTGTTTATAAAGGAAAAAATATTTGTGCATAATGACTGACATGTTACTGTTATTTTTTATTGTGTTAATATTGTTTTTATGATTACAGGTTGCCAGAAAATCACCAGAAAGTCGGAGGATGTTTTCTGTCTCTTTTCAATCAATTTAAGTGTTTATACTTGGCGTACTGTGCGAATCACCCCTCAGCTGTGAATGTCCTCACTCAGCAAAGGCAAGTGACTTAAAGTGAACCCGAGAATACTGAAAATGAGCGGTTATCATTAAAGATGTAATGCATGATGTGGGGTTGCTACGTTGACCTAGAACAAGCACCCAGACTAGAGCCCAGATTTATATTTCACTGGCTGCGTGCTTGTTCTTGGTAAGTGACTCAGTAACCAGGGTCAGCATGACAACCATAGACCCTGCACTTTTAAAAACCAATCTTGCGTAGGAAACCCCCATACTTATTTCCTTCTTTTTATTTTAACCAAAGCTTTTTCTTTTAATTATGGTACAAGGAGCCACTCCAGTCAAGAAGTAAAATTAGTGAAATGCTGAAACTGTCCAGGAAAAAAAATGAACTTCCAGTAGTAATAAAGTCCCTGCTATTTTCTTAATGGGGTCAGTGCAACTCAAAAGTAATATTTCAGGTATAGCTGGAGAGAGATAAGCTTAGTCACCTATTGGATTATTATAGCTGGTAGAACTTTAATATTGAGGATTGTCCCCACCCAACTTGGAGATTCATTCTGTACATGCGTGCCCCAACTTCGGATACATCCTGCAATACACAGCAGGTAAAATAAGTATTGAACACGTCACCATTTATCTCAGTAAATATATTTCTAAAAGTGTTATTGACATGACATTTTACCACGTGTTGGGAACAACCCATGCAATCCATACATACAAAGAAACCAAAACACATAAGTTCAGAAATTAATTTATGTGTAATAAAATGGAATTGTATAAAATCCTTTGTTGATAATGACCGCTTCAAGATGCCCATTCTTCCACACAGTCTTCAAATCTTGAAGGTTCCATGGGCCTCGTCTATGAATTCTGATATTTAGCTCTTTCCATAGATTTTTTATTGGATTCAAGTCAGGTGATTGGCTTAACCATTCTAGCAGCTATATTTTATTTCTTTGAAACCATTTGAGAGTTTCCTTGGCTTTGTGTTTGGGATCATTGGCTTGCTGAAATGTCCATCCTTGTTTTATCCTTTTTATCCTTTTCATCCTGGTAGATAGCAGCAGATTTTTACCAAGAATGTCTTGGTACATTTTTCCATTCATCCTTCCTTCAATGATATGAAGTTTGCCAGTACCATATGCTGAAAACCAGCTCTACATCATGATGTTCCCACCTCCAAACTTCACTGTTGGTATAGTGTTTTTGGGGTGATGTGCAGTGCCATTTGATCTCCAAATATGGTGTGTATTGTGACATCTAAAGAGTTCTTTTTCGCTCTCATCTGACCAGACTATACTCTCCAAGTATTTCACAGGCTTGTCTAAATGTTGTGCAAGAAACTTTAAATGAGCATCAACATGCTTTTTCTTCAGCAGTGGAGTTTTGCGTGATGAGCGTGCATACAGGCCATGGTGGTTGAGTGCATAACTTATTGTTTTCTTTGAAACAATTGTATCAGCTAATTCCAGGTCTTTCTGAAGCTGTCCACAAGTGGTCCTTGGCTCTTGGACAGCTCTTCTGATAATTTTTTTTTTTTTTTTGTTTACAAACGGTTTTATTGTACAAAAGTAGACTGTAAAACACACAGTACATTTTCAAATGATACTTACAGCAAAAACAAGGCACTTTTGAAAAGTACAATACAGAAAAGTATATTAATGAAAGAAAGAGAAGAAATAGAGAGGAGTAGGTTGCAAGTTCATGAAATATGTAGATGATAAGGTAGATTGAATGATACATCTGTCAACAGTATATGCCAGTCAACTTTCATTGGGAATGTTATTAATTATGCAATAAATGTCTATAATCCCTCCATGACTCCCATTTTTTATCAAATAAGTGCATCTTATCCAGTAGGGTATAATGAATACGTTCCATGAGCATTACAGCATCAATTCTGTGTAAACGGAGGCCAAGGGTACAGAATTGGACCTCCATTGTAAGGCAATAGACCATAAAGTGGCAATACATATAGTATGTATCAATCTCATAATGGCATCAGAGACCCCCGGGATATGAGCCCCCAATAGACAGGTCTGTAAAGATAATCGTACCGGGGTACCCACCAGTGAGATAGCTACCTCAGATATCTTGCACCAAATAATAGATATGGTCGGGCAATCCCAAAATATATGAACCAAAACATAAAGGGGACGTTTGTGGGAACAGTACATGTAGTCTTGATGGGGTATAATACCATCTAGTTAAAACCTTGAGGGCCGTCTCACGAACAGAAGGAGATCGAGAACACTTACATATGTTATTCTGATAATTTTTTTCACTCCTTTGTCAGAAATCATGCGAGGAGCACCTGGTTGTGGCCGGTTTATGATGAAATGATGTTCTTTTCGCTTCTGGATTATGGCCCTAACAGTGCTCACTGGAAAATTCAGAAGTTTAGAAATCCTTCTGTAACCAATGCCATCAGTATGTTATGCAACAATAAGGTTGAGAAGATCTTGAGAGAGCTCTCTGAGATGTTTCTTGTGTGACAATTTGGTAATGAGACACCTTCAGTTTGCACTGACAAGGGGCAAGATTGCTTTCTAATTACTGATAGATTTCAACTGGTGTCTTGGCTTTCCATGCCTTTTTGCACCTTCCTTTCTTAATGTGTCCAGTACTTTTTCCCTGTGTTGTTCCATTTTATTACACATAAGTTGATTTCTGAACTTATTTGTTTTGGTTTCTTTATTTACTGAGAAAAATGGTGACGTGTTCAATACTTATTTTACCCGCTGAACATAATAATAATCCTGTAGAGAAAGTACTTCATATAATCAGTTTACATGCAAATCTCAAAACACAGAAATCTTACCATGGGAGACCTAAAGAAAAGCCATGATTGAACATAATTCTTCCAAAAGCTAATTATCACATTTGAACTTACAGATGTACGTTTATCTGACTTTATTTAACACAATAAATTCAGTAGACTTTTCACAACATTTTATTAAAGTGTAACTAAAGGCAAAACTTTTTTGGATAAAGTAAGGGAGGGTTAAAACTCTCCTTCTCTTCCAGACCCATAGCCAAAACAAGAAGAGAGAAAATCCCTCCAATGTGAAGCAGGGAGGTGGGATGAAGGTCCAGAAAACATAAAGCACTGACTAAAGCTGTCAGCCATGTAATACATAGTCACATTTTTAATTTAGTTATGAACATAGTAGAAAAGGGCCCCTAGGAGTTTATTTTTTATATCTCTCTCCCATTGAGGTGATTTCTCTTTCCTTCCTGTCCTAGAGATACAGCAGGAAGTGAGAGGAAGTTTCGCCAAAGTAAGGCAAATACCCCTCTTGACAGCTGTCAGCTGTCACCAGGACATGTGTCCAGACTTGAAGATTTTTACTCACCATCTGTTCTGGTGATTTATTTTGGATTTCCCTTACTTGCTGTCCCGCTGACAATGATCACCTGGACAAATGAAAACGGTGAATCTCTCCTCCAGTGGGGACAAAGGCAGCAATAAAAACCTGTCAGGGGTTCTAACCCGTAACCTAGCATAGAAATAAATTGTTTTCAATATACATACACTTTCGGAGGTTTCTGTTGGGTATCACCTGCTTTAAGTAAATTAGGGCAACCATTGATGAGGTGTGGTTTTTACCTCCTGCCTTCAATAACTTTCCCATTTTATTCACTTGCTGTGTGGAAATTCTGTCTATATTGGTAAAGGATGTATAGAAATTGAGAGAGCAATTAAATTATTCCTTACAGATTAGGAAATGAAATTGCACTGGTTGCATATATAAAGAAAATTTTATTCAATTTCAACTGAGAACTGCCTTGTTCTTTTTATAGTGATGAACTGGAGAAGTTTATGGAGGCTCAAGGAGCTGCCAGCCCGGGAATTCTACTGCTGACCACAAGCCTCAGCAAACCCTTCATGAGACTGGAAAAATATGTCACTCTGCTTCAGGAACTGGAAAGACACATGGAGGTAAGCCACATTTGCCATCTTTAATTTGCTATTCTACTCATAGACATAGATATAAGTCGTTTGTTAGGATGAATACCAAAGCGTGCCATACACTGACCAAAATCTGTCCGGTTCAGCAGGAACCAGCTGAATTTTATTCAGTGTGTGGCCGTCCCTGCTTGACATCTGGAGACTTTTCTTGATCAGCAACTCCAGCCATTGATCAGTGTATTCTGACAGCATTGGGTACTTCTGTAAGAATACAATGTCCTGGCAGAGGAGATTCCTTCATCCACCTAATTTGTGTGCATGGAGGAATGAAAGTGGTTGTAAAGGCAGAAGGTTTTTTACATGAGTCTTATGGACACACAAGGGTGTCTCGGGAGCTAGCACACACGAGAGCCCCCAGAACAAATTGCTTGCTGAGGGAGCACGGGGGCGGGGGTGAGTGGAGCCTGGCGTGCCGGCTGCTCTGTGCTAGACCATTGCACAGAACAGGTAAGTATGATATGTTCGTTATTTGAAAAGAATACAAAAATAAACATTTTGCATTTTTAAGTGAAGGGCCTAAAATGGTTACAGATGAATAAAAGTCCAAGAATACAGGATTATCACCTTCCAGATACTAGAGAACTGTGTATGACCGCGCTCAAAATCTCAACTGTTAAACTATCTAAAATAAGAAAAAGTGTTAAAATACCATATAAAATGTATCAACAAAATATTCACTTTCAAAATATTTTGCAACTCAGTTCACAAACAAATGAAATCCAAATAAACAAAGTCCTTAATGTCCACCATCAGGTGCAATATGTGCAAAAAAAATGTGTGTGTATGGAGATAGATAGATAGATATATATATATATATATATATATATATATATATATATATATATACACTGAAAAAATATTTAGTCAGCCACCAATTGTGCAAGTTCTCCCACTTAAAAAGATGAGAGAGGCCTGTAATTGGCATCATAGGTAGTCCTCAACTATGAGAGACAAAATGAGAAAAAAAATCCAGACAATCACATTGGCTGATTTGGAAAGAATTTATTTGCAAATTATGGTGGAAAATAAGTATTTGGTCACCTACAAACAAGCAAGATTTCTGGCTCTCACAGACCTGTACCTTCTTCTTTAAGAGGCTCCTCTGTCCTGCACTCATTACCTGTATCAATGTTACCTGTTTGAACTTGTTATCAGTATAAAAGACACCTGTCCACAATCTCAAACAGTCACACTCCAAACTCCACTATGGTGAAGACCAAAGTGCTGTTGAAGGACACCAGAAACAAAATTGTAGAACCAGGCTGGGAAGACTGAATCTGCAAAAGGGCAAGCATCTTGGTGTGAACAAATCAACTGTGGGAGCAATATTAGAAAATGGAAGACATACAAGACACCACTGATAATCTCCCTCAATCTAGGGCTCCACGCAAGATCTCACCCCGTGGGGTCAAAATGATCACAAGAACGGTGAGCAAAAATCCCAGGACCACACGGGAGGGGGGGGGGGACCTAGTGAATGACCTGCAGAGAGCTGGGACCATTTAACAAAGGCTAAATCAGTAAGACACTACGCCGCCACAGACTCAGATCCTGCAGTGCCAGACGTATCCCCCTGCTTAAGTCAGTACATGTCCGGGCCCGTATGAAGTTTGCTAGAAGCATTTGGATGATCCAGAAGAGGATTGGGAGAATGTCATATGGTCAGATGAAACCAAAATAGAACTGTTTGGTAGAAACACAACTGGTCGTGTTTGGAGGAAGAGAATGCTGAGTTGCATCCAAAGAACACCATACCTACTGTGAAGCATGGGGGTGGCAACATCATGCTTTGCGGCTGTTTCTCCGCAAAGGGACCAGGATGACTGATCCATGTGCAGGACAGAATGAATGGGGCCATGTATCGTGAGATTTTGAGTGCAAACCTCCTTCCATCAGCAAGGGCATTGAAGATGAAATGTGGCTGGGTCTTCCCAACATGACAATGATCCCAAACATACTGCCCGGGCAACGAAAGTGGCTTCGTAAGAAGCATTTCAAGGTCCTGGAGTGGCCTAGCCAGTCTCCAGATCTCAACCCCATAGAAAACCTTTGGAGGGAGTTGAAAGTCTGTGTTGCCCAGCGACAGCCCCAAAACATCACTGCTCTAGAGGAGATCTGCATGGAGGAATGGGCCAACATACCAGCAACAGTGTGTGCCAACCTTGTGAAGACTTACAGGAAACGTTTGACCTCTGTCATTGCCAACAAAGGATATATAACAAAGTATTGAGATGAACTTTTTATATTGACCAAATACTTATTTTCCACCATAATTTGCAAATAAATTCTTTCCAAATCAGCCAATGTGATTGTCTGGATTTTTTTTTCTCATTTTGTCTCCCATAGTTGAGGTCTACCTATGATGCCAATTACAGGCCTCTCTCATCTTTTTAAGTGGGAGAACTTGCACAATTGGTGGCTGACTAAATACTTTTTTGCCCCACTGTATATATATATATATATATATATCACCCAGTGTTCTTCACCTTTCAAGTAAATGGCTCACCTCTTTCAACACAACTGAAAATATGAAGTACAAATGTGTTCCTTTAAAAGGTAACATACATAATGCAATCCACTTCCAATATTGTTGGAGCACTATGCACTCTTTAACTGTCAACAATGGGTTAATAGATCCACTCTCTTCATTAATGAGCTTGCAAGTTTCTCACAGTTCCAGACCATTTGCTAACATGTCCAAAAAACACAAGGGAAGGCTTCCCAGATTGTAAGCTCGAAAGAGTAGGGCCCTCTTAAAATGTTTCATGTATTGTCCCCCCCCTCTATTGTACAGCGCTGAGCAAACCCTTTGGCGCTATATAAACTCAATGTAATGTAATAGCGTAAAACAATCTATTATTTATTAATAAAAACCATCATAGGTACACTCACATTGCCACATGTCATGCCTGACACTAAGGAGGTATGCGCATATACAAGTAAAGTCACCAACTCCAGCTGCGAACACAGGCTGGGGACTCAGCGGACAAGCGGACTCAGTGCGGGGGAACTTTGCTCAGAGCATGGCTGTGCCTAACATGTTTCGACATGTCGTCATCAGAGGCAGCATTGTCCTTAAAGAGGAGCTTCATGTTTAATAAAAGTCAGCAGCCACACTTTTAATAAACAGACACTCATCTCTCCCAGGATCCAGCCATGTGCTCACTTGAGCTGTTTCTTCCCTTGGTCTGCTGTCCCTGGCACTGGCATCTCAACAATGGGAACCTGGCTGTGACAGCTTGCGGCTTCACAGCCGGGTGGCCACTGCACATATGCGAGCCATGCTGCACATTGTGAATGGTCCTGCAGTCTTCTGGGACCCACAACATGTCCCAGAAGACTGCGGGGAGGGAGGGAGAGAGGAGAGCTTTCGCTCATATCGCCTAGGCGATCCATGTGGAAGTAGGAACAGGTACCTGTCAAAAAAAACCCCACACACAGAAAAGAGGTTCAATTTGGTGAAGAGGAGGGAGGGAGGGAGGGGAGACCGTAAAGTGGAACTTCCCCTTTCCGGTGGAGCTCTGCTTTAATTAAAATCTCATAGAAAATAATCTAGTTGTATAATGACTGCTTGTCTTCATATACTCTTAGGTGACTGTATCTATTTTTCCCAAAATTATTCTTGGATTTAAATATAAACATATGAGGTCCGGTATTAGAATTGGACCTCCCAAATGTCAATCCATGTCAAGATATGAGCGCAAATATATCATGCTGAATGTTGGATAGTATAGCCAGATATGAAAATCTTACCATCCCTGTGATTTTTGGTACTTTTGTGCAATGAGCAATGATGATTTGCTGTAACCAGGAGCAGCCAATCAGAATTCAGATTGTTGTTGTGTGGTCATAGGACACATGGCCTGGTTGGTTGTATAGGTTAGTGTATTGTGTGCTGCTCTACTAAATGATCTTGCATATTGCCTCTCAGTTGGTGTACAAATTATTGGCTTTATCGGTCACCGTTTGCTAGGCAGGTTAATAGAGGAAAGCTGTATAAATAAATCACAGATAGAAAGCAAACAGTGAACACAGAGCATGTCCTATTTCCTCAGTTTTGCTTCAGGCAAAAGCTGTTATAGTGAACCAGAAGATACCTGTGTTTCTTACAAGAGTCAGTTGCCTTTTACAGCCTCATCTGTTTTACTTTTAATCCTGTGTCATATAATGTAAATCATTTTTCTGTGTGTTGGAGCTCTTGGAATGGGGAAAAACATAAACATGACATAACTGTTGTATTTAAAGTAATATTAAATGGAGTCACCCCTGAATGCAGGGGTTAGAGTTATGTCTTCCCTTTTCAGCTGCAGACTACCTTTAACCTGCCCCCATACATGTACTATTATTTTGTGCAATTATGTCATACTGTTAGGGCACATGAATGGAACTTGCCCTACACACCGCACTTTAACTTGATTTCCACGGTCTTCACGGGATTAATTTCACAATGCTATTCCATGCTCTTGTCTTTACCTTAAGAAACACCACATGAGAGTCCTAGCACACTGGGAGAAGGATCTGGGCCTCATGTCGGGGAATCAATGAGAAGACACTTTCAATCTAGTTACTATCTGCTGTCTGAGCACCACCCAAATACTGTAGCTGCTGACTTTTAATATAAGGGCACTTACCTGTTCAGGAGTCCAGCGCTGGCCTCACCCGAGCCAATTCTTCAATCTGCTTCGGCTGCTGGTGCTGGCATATTAAGTAGGGGGAAATGGTCAGTGAAGCCTTGCAGCGTTACAGACAGTTCCTTACTGCGCAAAATGCGCTGCACTTTGTGAATAGGCCACAGTCTTCAGGGACCTGTCAAGTGTCCCAGAGGACTGCAGGGGTTCGGAGGGGGGCCAAACTTTCAGTTCCAGTTCAGAGGAGCTCGGCCTGGGGATCAGACAAGTCCTGTCTGGTATGCTGAAAGATTCTGAGCCACTCAAGGTGGAGTCTTGCAATTTGGTGCAGCTGGTGTACTG